TTATCTTTAAAATACTTATTTATACGGCTATTCCATGCTTTTGGCGCTTGCTTTAGTCCATAAAAAGCTTTTTTCAATTTCAATACTTTATATCCATGCCCTTCGACCACGAAACCCAATGGTTGTTATACATAAACCTCTTTATTAAGATAACCATTACAAAATGTCGATTTTACATTAGTTGAAAAATTTTCTACTTTATTTGGGCTGAAATAGCTAAGAACAAGTGAATAGTCTCCATGCGAGCAACTGGTGCAAAAACCTCATCATAATCAATCACATGTTTTTATTTGTATCCTTTAGCCACAAGTCTTGCCTTGTACCTTTTCACATTTCATTGAGAATTTTTTTAGCCTTATAGACCCATTTGACACTAATAGCTTCATATCCCTTAGGAAAAGTGGATAGCTCCAATGTGTTGTTATTTTCTATGGATTTGATCTCTTCCTCCATGGCTTGTCTCCATCTTGCATCTTTGATGGCTTTATCGAAATTCATTGGTTCACTATCAAGAAAAAGACAAAACAAATAATTTATATCAAAATTAGTGATCTACTCAATTTCATCATAAATATCTTGAATGCTCTTCAACTTTCGTGCCCTTTCACTTGAACTTTCTTAAGAAATAGGTGATGCAACATGAGTTAGAGAATGAGGTGGAGTTGCCTCTTGCAAAGGTACCATGGTCTCTTAGTTTTTCTCTTCAAAGTATGAAAAGAAATCATAAGCATTTTCTTCTTTCTTCTCCCAATTCCAAGTTGTTTTTTCATTAAATTCAATATCTTTACTTACCATAATCTTGTCATTGCTTGGATTATACAATTTATAGCCTTTTGAGTTTGCATCATGCCCAATGAAAATATGTTTGACACTTCGATCACCAAGCTTAGATATCTCTTGCTTTGGAACATGAGCATATGCAATACTTCCAAAAACTCGCAAGTGGTTGACGTTAGGTTTCATTCCGCTCCCTGCTTCTTAGAGAGTCATGTCTTTCAAACTTTATGTTGTAGACCTATTAGATAAATATATTGCACAAGAAATTGCTTCAGCCCAAAATTCCTTAGGCATATTTTTTGCTTTCAACATGCTTCTAGCCATATTAAGAATATGTCTATTCTTTCTTTCTGCAACCCCATTTTATTGTGATGATCTTAAAACCGTTAAAGGGCGACGAATTTCATTAAATTCATAGAAATCATGGAATTCTTTAGAAGTAAATTCACCTCCTCTATTTGTTCTCAAAGACTTTATTTCACAATTACAATCTTTTTCTACAAGAGTTTCGAAATTTTTAAAAGCAATAAAAGCATCTGAATTTTGCTTTAAAAAATATACCTAGGTCTTCCTATTAAAATATCAATAAATAGTAGAAAATATTTGTTTTTACCAAATGAGAGTTAATTGATTGGCCTACACACATTGGCATGCACAAGTTGAAGTAGCTTGGTTGCTCTTATAGTAGTTTTTTTTTAGAAACTTCTTCTTGAATGCTTTCCAAGTAAATATGTTTCACATAATTGATTAGGATGGTTGATTAATAGCATCCCTTTCACTATTTTTTCTTTTCCCATTGCCTTGAGTGCACCAAGTTCAAATGGCAAGATCTCATATGCCAACACCATGCTTTATCTTCCACACTAGCCTTTAAACATCTTGCTTCAATAGTTTTGAGATTTAAGATAAACATTATATTCTATGACATGTGCACCATAACAATCAAATTACCACTTTGATCTCTAAGTCAAAGACAATAATTTTTCATGCGAATTTCATATCTATTTTTAAGAAGTTGACCCAAACTCAAAATATTACTTCTTAACTTTGGCACATAGTAAACATTAGTAATAAATATGTCCTCCATTTTTTGAAGAGATTAGAATTGTACATTTTCCTTGAATTTAAGCTTTTGAAGAGTCTCCAAAAGAAACATTGCCATTAATCTTCTCATCAAACTTTACAAAATTTTCTTTATTGTCGCATATGTGATTGCTTGCTCTATTATCCATACCATAAATTATGGGTGTCACTATCTCCCTCTTTACATGCTAGCAATAAAGTTGTTTCTTCCTCATCTTGTTTATCATTGAGAAAATTGGTTTCTTCCTCCTTCTCATTTAAAGTGTTACAATATTCCCAAGCATAATGCTCACATTTGTGACAATTGTAATATTCAATATTTGATTTGTTAGAATTTCTATAGTTACCTCTTCGTCTTCCTCTTCCTCTTCCACAGCCTCTATTTGATGGTTGACTTTTATCTTCATTATCGACATTATCTTGAGTTTTATTTCTTTTAAATGCTTGACCATGACCACAACCACGTACTCTACCTCTTCCTCGTCCTCTTTGCTTTCCATCATCATTCAAAGATGCCATTGATTTGAGAACTTGTTCAAAAGGCTCTTCTTGTTTTTTTTTTTTTTTTTTCTTCATTAGCTTGTAGAGATCCCTCTAATTGTTCAAATTTCAAAATGTCTAGATCTTTTGATTCTTCAATGACACAAACCACATAGTCGAATTTTGGTGGTAACGATTAAAGAACTTTCTGCACCACACGAACATCTTATATCATCTCACCATATCTTCTCATTTGGTGTACTATAGACTTTACCCTTGAGCAAAAATCTGAAATGGATTCAACATCCTTCATTTGTAAAATTTTAAACTCACGTCGTAAAGTTTAGAGTCGTACCTTCTTCACCCTGTCAACTCATTGGAGGGAATTCTTCAAAATTTTCCAAGCTTACTTTATGTTGGTAGCATCGGCCACCTTTAGAAACATAGATTCATCCAAACTTTAATAGATGAGTGCAAGAGCTTATTGATCCTTCTTCTTTATTCTTGAAAAGCACCCTTCTCATTTTGAGTTAAGGATCCTTCATCTTTGGGTAGAGTAAAGCCTCTTTCTACAATATCTCATATATCTTGTGAGCCAAGTATGGCTTTCATACGAAGACACCAACTCTCATAATTTTTTTTTTTATAAGACGATAAAATTGAAAAGAAAATAGATTGTTGCTAGCCATCTTTAGAATTTTAACAAGAAACCAAGCTCTAATACCACTTTGTTAGAGAAAATAGGAAGAGGCTACAGAAACTAAAGATAAGACTCAATATTTTATATTGTGGTTCTTATAAAAAAAAAATTTAAGTACATGCTTATTTATAGTCACTATTACAATTATTAGAATTAATTATAACTACCAATAAATATAATAAATCTAATCTATGACTCAACTTCTACCAAATCAAAGGGTATATAAACTCTAAATTATGAAGTTTAACTACTAACAAACTAATTAATTATATTCTAATTTGTAAATTAATTTTTAACAAGTATATCCCATCCACCCTCTTTCACATCAGTAATCGTAAGAGTAGCAATATCTACTTTGTCTTCCATAGTTCGGCTTATGACAGAGACTAAAAACCTATACTAACATGCCAAAGCCAACAGACAGAGAGAAAACATAACGTGCCAAAGCGTCATGCTAGTAGTGTTGTACCTGTGCGTGTTTGTGAGGTTAGTAATAATATACTTGACAAAAAAATCTGTGAAATATATCAAGAATATTAGTGTGTATGGTAATTTTATTTTAAAAGATATTGTAATATTTATTTAATGTTATAAAAGACATATTATTTGATTTTCTATTATTTTTGTAGATGATATGACTAAATGTTCCTTGAACTGTTAAAAGAAAACAAGATAATAATTATAAAATTATAACAACGAGAGTATTCATTCAATTCTAGTTTATGAAATTTCTTGTTAAATAATTAAGATAACTTAGATTGATACTATTATTTCAAATAAAATAGTTTTCAATATAGTATTTATAAAAAGAATATTTAATCTCATTTCATATTAGTGTATTTGTTACAAGAATAATCTAAAAATAACAGTATTAAATAAGTTATCTTTTTTTTATTTAATTCCAATAATTGAAATATTTTGTTTAAAAAAAAAAAAAAATTGTTTTCTTCCTTCTACCAATACATGAATTAATGTTGTGGATCCTAATTGTCTTGACAGACAGACAGTTATAGTAGGCATCCACTTGAGTCAGCGAATAAATTTTTGTACTTTTATATCAGAAATTACTATTTACAATGACATATTGGCATCAAGAGTTGCAATTCTACGTCTTACACATATCATGTCTTGGTAGTAGAGCTCTATCTATCTATATAGTTTTTACACATCAGCAGATGTTAATTTTATAAAAATAATTAATTAATATCCTTATTTATGATTCATCATTGACTAGATAATTAATACGTTCTTCTTCTACCTATGCAAAAGTATGAGTTTAAATTGAATTTCGTATCTCAATGTGTTCTGGTCATAATATTGTGATATAATTAGTGCGTACATGATATCTAATTAGTAACATATATAAATTTTGACTCAAAAAATTATAAAAATAAACAACAATAACCACATGTTTATGCTGTACAACTAAACAAATGGTATGGTTACCTTATAAAAGTTAGTTTTATTTATGATGATTTAATATTTTATAGTTTTATTCATCTCTTTTTAGTAAATATATTCATTTTTATTTCATATTTAAATTTACAATTAAATAAATTAAGATTAAAGAAGAAATTATAACGTAATTATAAGGGGAAAAAAAAACCAATAATTTTATGTAAAATAATTTTAAAAAAACCAAATTACTTTGAACCAAATTATTATAAAAATCGTAATAATTGAGTTATCATAAAAAATAAAAATAAAATAGAAGATCTAAATTTCAATAAATTCCAACAACATGATATGAAAATACAATTTATCCTCATAAAATTATTCTTATTTGAATTTGGCGGCGGTAATAAGATGATGGTATAAGTAGAAAGTAGAAAGATGAGAATAGTTGGGCCAACAGAAAGATATCAATTTCAGTCTTTGAAAGATTATTCCAACAGAGACAGGCCCATCCATGGCAGAAACAGAGTTGTAGTTGAAGAGAGGTCAGCAATCGTCCACCACTACAACCACACACCCTTATCTTCTTCATCTGCCCAGAAAAAAAATGTAAGGGCAGAGCTTGAAATTAAAGCTTTGCTTTAAATTTAGAACCTTGGAAAACCTTCTGATATATTTCCTCCTATTTCAGATCTTAGCTTAATTTTAATGGCTTCCCTTACTCTCCCTAACCACTTTCTTCTTCCCTCTCCCTCCCACACCCACACTCCTAAACATCCATGTTATCAAACTCTCTCATTTCTCTCCAAATCTCAATTTTATGGCCTCAGCTTCTCTTATTCTCCCTCTTTCTTAATACCATCTTCCCTTCCAATGAAAACAACTATTTCTGCCAAGGTACATTGCGCTATGTTTACATTTTCAGGCTGCTGTATTGACTAGTACTACTATTATTGTGGCTTTCATCTTTTGTGCCTATATAATATGCACGTGAAACCTTGTATTGCTTTAAAGGTGAGCAAAGGGCAAGTACCACCATCCTTCAAATTGAAAGATCAAGACGGAAAGCTTGTGAGCCTCGACAAGTTTAAAGGGAAGCCTGTGGTTGTGTATTTCTATCCTGCTGATGAGACCCCTGGCTGCACCAAGCAGGTTTTTTTTTTTTTTTTTTTTTCATAATTCCTCTCCATCTACAATGTACTTTTTCAAACATGTTTGTTTGTTCGGGAAGGCCAAGATGAGTTTGGAGCTGTATTTGTTCTCTAGTTCTGTCAAGTAATCATTCCATTCCAACACCAAAAGAATTGTTTTAAAGCCATTTTGTTGGACATAATTCTGCAAATTAACCATAGGAACCGTCGAAAATACGCCTACTAGCTACAGCCTACATCATCAGTACATGCCATTTTTTTTTTTGTATAGCTTTGCTTTCAGGTTCTCAACAGTAGAATGGTGTTTTTTGCGTTGATGATCGACTAGATTATATATATATATACACACATATATACACATTTTTTTTAAGTTAGTGTAATGGAGGGGTTGCACTAATGAGAAACCAAAAAGTTAGAAGAGAAATGATGTTAATACTTATGCAGGCCTGTGCTTTCAGAGATTCTTATGAGAAGTTTAAGAAAGCTGGAGCTGAGGTTATTGGAATTAGCGGAGATGATACTGCATCCCACAAGGTAATACTAAAAAGAATTTAGTGATCAATCAGCTTTAAGGCCAATTGTCTCTTGCATCTTTTCATGAACATAATCAGTTTTTACCAGATGGCAAACTTATGGAATAAGAGTTCCAATTAATGAGAACAAATAAGGTCAGGCAGCAAGCCATGCAATCCTAGTGATAACGTTTTATGAATTAATCTACGTTTGTGTGTCTATGTGTATAAAGTTACAAGCCTGATAATCTGATTGGGAGGGGGAAAAAGGAGGGAAGGAAAAGAAAGGCTACCATATTGCCTTTATTTCCTTCTCTGCAATGTGGACGCAAAAAGCTTCCAAGTTTTCCTCCAGCCATATGCGATGTGTATGAGCCAAACTAGCCTCCATGAAAATAGCTCTTGAATGGGTTCTTAGATAGTAAAGCTTACTCTTTAGCCGGTTTTACATGTCATTTTCTTTCCTTGTATTTTACAAATTCAAGAAAGCAGACATTTGATATTTCTTATGATCATGGTATTCTATAGTGTGCTTAAGCTTTGGTTGCTGGTAATCTTAGTTCATAACATTGACTGCGTGTTGCTGGAAATTTGCAATTGCAGGCATTTGCAAAAAAATACAGACTTCCATTTACATTGCTGAGTGATGAGGGTAACAAGGTGAGAAAAGAGTGGGGAGTGCCATCTGACCTGTTTGGAGCTTTGCCAGGGAGAGAGACTTATGTTCTTGATAAGAAAGGTGTAGTTCAACTAGTCTACAACAACCAGTTCCAGCCTGAAAAGCATATTGATGAGACCTTGAAACTACTTCAAAGTCTTTGAATTTCTCAATTTGGTTTCTCTTATTTCCTTCACTGCTTCTTGCCTTTGCTTTTAATGAATGTTCGTGATTTTGTAAACTGGTAGTTATGCAGGTTCAATTCTTGTATCTATGATTAGATACCCATATATTGCACAGCTATAATCTGCATTTAATCTCTTGCAGCTACAAGTTTAACCGGTTTGTCATTTCTAGGAAATTGAAAGCTTTTGACATTCCCAAGAACAAGAACAAGGTATATTTGCTGCAAACGAAAATCTTGTTCTTGCATAGTCTAAACTTCAGATTCAAACACTATGTACTTACACAAGCTTACTAGAATTTCAAGGCAGCATCAGATATGGATGCTCCTACCAGATTACCCTATTATCATTGCTCACACATGATTCTTGTTTGATGTTACAAATGGGTTTGAACCAGCTAGCTTCATCTTGCAATTCCTTAACTCATAAATTTCTGGAGAACATGAAACATTAGATACATCTTATTGAGGCATATAGGTCTTAAATTTCCTGTATATGAGTTATTTATACTCTTCCCTGACTTATTGTGTCTGTCATGGATTTATATAGATAACCTAAAGAAATCTTCTGAATTAGATAATGAATGACCCTAGTGCTTGTGTAGCTTTACTTTCCCTGTACCTGTAAGTAGTCCTGGCTGCCATAAGGACTAAACGCCTCCAGCAGCCAGTTTTTCTTCCTCCAAGTATTCCATCCCATTTCTTGGCAGATCTCATCGCTATGGTTAATACTGAAAGTTGAAATGCAGTGTCTCTTGTAGAACCTGGTCGTTTTCTTTGTAACTTCTATCTCTTTAGAAGTCTGTTGAAGCATTTTCTCTATGCTGGGAAGCTTGAATTTTTCATCAATTAATCGAGCCAGCCAGATGGAATGCAGCTCGGCTGTGTGAAGATTTGAAATGCTTTCAACATAACCAACAAATGCCATGTTTGGTATCAATGGATGAATGGTGCCCCTGCCAAAGGAAGACAGATATTACTTTCTCATTGTTGATTGGTTTCGCTTCTGTTGCTGGGTTATATATAATCAACAAGTGCCATTTTATGTTTCTAAATTTACCTGTATAAGGGCATCATGCCAGATGGATATTCAAGTAAACTACAGAAAGGTTCTGGCAATATAGCCTTGAGCTTTTTCTTGCCATCATAACCAGTTGCAAGAATCACAACATCCGTGTCTAGTTTAGAGCCGTCCTCAAACTCAATTCCTCCTGTCCAGAACCACCATTTTGATGCCCTTTTGATCACAATCTTTCCCTTATCAGCTTCTGCAAAGAAATTGTCTGGCATGATAGCCATCTGACAAGAAGCGTAGTCTTCGAGGAACGGGTGATCTGGTTTCAATCCATACTTTTGCAGAGGAAGTTTCCAAAGCAAGTAGGACTCAATGAACTTGGAAACTATATGCTGTTGTCGAGAATAATTGTGGGTTAGAATTAGAAAGCATCGGCACACACCAATAAGAAAATCCACATGAGAGAAGTAAGAAATGCGGAGTTACCCTAGGAGATAAAAGGAGGCAAAAGAGAGTCTTCAAGAAGCTCTGGTTAGGTCTTTCATGGAAAAACTGAGAAAATCTGGTAGAATAGAACAAGAAAAAGGGCAACCCCCATATCCAGTAATGGGGTACTGTCCAATGTAAGGTCCTTACTACCATGGTGCATGGCTGTCCCTCGGGTCCTACCCACATAACACAAGTATAATACAAGTAGTTAATGTCACTTGTAAAAAACAAACTTGATAATAATTGATCGACATCCAGCTGAAACTCTCAAGTTTCTTGTTTTTTTCTCCTTTCAAGTTATTTCATGACTTCATACTCTTGGAGCCAAAATTTGAATATTCTCTTTTTGGGAGATTTTTTTAAAGGAGTCTACGTTATATATGTAAGTAATTAGACTTTGGATGATTCCTACGTTATATATGTAAGTAATAGGTGAGATAAGATTCTATTTTTTTTTTTTAACGAACGTATATATGTGTGTGTGTGTGTGCGTGCAATGAAAAATCACTTAAAAGAAGGATGGTCAACAGGTCAAATATAAAATTTATTCTTTCATTTAATTGGCCTTGCCGGTTTTGACACTTGACCGTTATTCACTCAATTTTTCAGACCCAAACCAAATCCCATTGGATGCCTTTAAAAGATAATCAACGTGGAAATTATAATCTATAAGCATACAATGCTAAATACAAATTAAGGTTTATGTTATATATATATATATATATTAGTATATTATATTAGTGAAAACCCTTTTTTTTTTAATCAATATTTTTTGGACCAGAATTACTTAAACTCTGTGTATGAACCTAGAGGGCCACAAATCAGTAATGAAGTCATATTATTATAAAATACTTCCACACTAAAATTAAGTGATAGCAAAATTGTTGAGAGAGAGAGATTAACACACTTTATATCTATGTTTACATCATAACTCCTCGTTGATGCTAATTCATTCAATCTTGTTTAGGTGACTGTATATTTTTTTTCTTGGAGGAAGATCATATAATTTTTAGTAAGGAGTCTCGGAAATTAGACACGAGTTTTTCTTTTCTTTTTTTTTTAACCAAAAAAATAATATTATCTATAAGGGCAAAGATGTATGTCTGAACTTCTAATTGATTATATTATTTGAAAAAAAATTAAAAATTTCATAGAATTTATTTATATGAAATTATATATGAGATTAATACAATTTACGTAAAGTACTAATTAAATTCGTAAATGATGGTTTTACTAAATTTTCATTAATAAATTTTAGTAAAGATGATATGTGATGTACCTTGATTTGCCTCTGCACACTCTACGGCCAAATCAATTGCTGATTTTTTGTAGCCGATGACTGTAACTTTCTTGTCTTTAAGTAATTGGGAAGCGTCATTCTTATCTAACTTGCAGTAATCAATGGAATGTAAAACTTGACCCTTAAATATTTCAGGACCTTTATTTTGTGGAAATTTTGGAATTTTAGGTATATCACCGTATTTACCAGTACAAACAACCACAAATTCAAAGGTATACCACTGGTAAAAAACCAACAAACAAAATCATCACATACAGAGTTAAAGAAATCATTTGCATATAAAAATTATCATAAATTATATCTAATTAATTAAAAGAGAAATAACCTGAATATCATCAGAATTATGAGTTTGAACAGCAACTTTCCATATTGGGTGGCCAGATAAGGGGCTGTTATACTTTCCTGAAGTATTAACAAGATCTCTGTCTCCAATAAACCTCAATTCCACTACTTTTGAGTTAAATTTCACGTATTTAAAAACGTCAAAGTAATAAGCATAACATTTCAAGTAATCTAATATTTCAAGATAAGAAGGAAAAGTTGTATCATCTCTATTTTGCCATGAAAAATCAGAAAATTCATAATCACTACGATACGATTGAAGTTTGGTAGAATAATAAGAACAACTCTTCCATACGCCTCCAATTGAATCTGATGCTTCAAACACAATAGGTTTGTGATGAGACAGTTGTTTAGCAGCTGCTATGCCACTAACACCGGCTCCAATTATACCAACTTTTGAGACAATAAGAGGGTTTTTTTTATTACAAGCCATAGTTAAACTATGATGGGATGTTGGTAGGGAGAATAAAGTTGTGTGTGGTATAATGTTTGAAGATTTGGGATGTACTTATAGTGCATGAATTCGAACATGTAGGAAGCACGTGAAATGGACTTTTAAGGCATAAATTAGGGAGAGAAATTATGTGACTTTTTTTAAAAAAATATTCATTGGTGTAATTAATATGAAATTGTTTGGTTGTAGGGAAGAACTTTCGCCACTTCAAGTAGTACTACAAATATTTGCTTTTTCAAGCATTACACGTGTGCAAACTAATATTTATATAATTTGACAATTATAAGCATTCCACACACAAAATATTCATATATATATATATATATATATATATATAGTTTTGGAACTCTATATTTTTATAAAGTTAATGAAGCTACCAAAATAATACATTATTCTTTCAATCATCTTTTTTTTTTTAAAAAAACAAAACAAAACAAAACAAAAGTTAGTATGAGAATTACAGAAATTTCTTTAACTTAATTCAAAGTTATCAATAGATACTGATTTATTCAAATACCCAATATAGTGTTTTAAAAATAATCCAAAGTAAGTTAAAATTCTATACTATATGTAGAATATTGAAAAACTTATGTGGCGAGACAAATAATTTTAAGACTTAAAAATTAGAAAATAAAATCATTACTTAGAAAATAAAAGCGACCCTTTTAAAAATAATCTTTAGAAATTAATCCCAAACCAGCCCAATATAAAATTTATAAAACTGACATCATATAAATAATACTTCGTTTTTTGTATATATTAATTAGATATCCATGAAACCATGAAATTTTGTTTATGAGAGACCCTTGCTTTGGAGAAAGAACAAAGAAACGTGGAAATATCCAGGAAAATAAGAAGAAGACAATGGGAAATTATGATATGGAGTTACTTAAAAAGATTAATTGCATATATTATGTAATATAAATCTACATGAAATATCACTTGTGATGATGTAGCATCTAATGAGATAGAGTTTTAAAAATTAAAGAATGCATGAACTAGTCCAAAGATTTAAAAAAAGAAGTTAGTTTAAATCAACATCTATTCAATCCCAACAAATTCTTAGATACCTCTTTGGGGAATCTTAATAACTTCCTCATTGTTTTTCTAAATTGATTATGAGCTCTCATGTGCCCCATTTGCAACCTTCCTCGTTGACTCATAAATCATCACAAGTCTTGCCTCCACCTCCTTTAGGAGCTTATTGTAGATCTCATGCATCTTATCAAGTTGCAATATTGACTTATAAAGACTCTTTTGTTTATGTGCAATTTCACAACACTGCTACTCTTTTCTACCATAAGAGGTTGTTACTGAAGACGGTCCACATTAATATGGCACGAGAAAAGGGCAAGTTCCTCGAGTGATTTAGAGAGGGAAGAATTGATCTCCCCCATCTTTACACGGGTCCTATTGAAGGGCTCTGGTGGGGTCCAAGTATATAAAAGACGAATTATGTTTGTATAACATCGAATATGATATTGGTCATTGAGGCCAGGGCCTCGAGTTATGTGAGTTAGGACATCTAGGTCCAAATTTTTTAAGTTTTACCTAAAAATGAAGGATAAAAAGAGGAGAAAGAACATAGTGTGGCAATAGTTGTGGAGGAGGAGAAATGAGGGTTAGAGATTATGTAGTTAGGGCGGTTCAATTGATAAGAAACCAACTCTTTTTTTTTTTAATCAATTTATAGGTTTTTAGATTCTTAAAAATCATCATGTCAGGTGTTACGTTATTTAATGTGTGATTTATGACGTGAAAAGTTGTCCAACCAGAATGTGCATGTGGTCAACTTAAATTCACGTTATATTTTTACTAATAGTATTAATATACATTAATGGCAAGAAATTAAATAAGATAATTTTCAAAAATACATGAATTAAAATTATAAAAAATAGTATATGTTGCAATTTATAGAGATTAAATAAGATCATTTTTAAAAATACATGAACAAAAATTATAAAAAAATAATAATATATTAGTTACTTTAACTGTTAGAAATAGTATAAATAATACATCGGATAATTTTTAAAAATATATGAATTAAAATTAATAATATATAAGATAATTTAAATACTAAAAATAATGTAGAGACTAATTCAATATTTTAATCTTTTCCATTATCAAAGTATATATATAACATTAAATTCATTTTCTATTACTTCCTGATCATAGAATCTGGATGGAATAGTTTGACTCAAAGCTTTCATATGCACGTTTCCAAGCCTTGGAGTTGACCTGATTAAATTAACTGCTGAAAACAACTTAATTTGTTCATTTAATTCTGATTTGGTACGTAATGAACAAATTAAATATATAATTAGCTTAAGTAAACGCTTAAGAATACAAGTTAATTAGATCTTGTCATGCTGTGATATTCAAAGATTGTAAAGTTTGAGACCCAAATATGTACACGCACGTCTACACCTATACAAATGCAAATCTATTTCACATGGAGCATATAAAATATTTATATATATATATATATATATGAGAAAGTTCATGACCAAAAGTTTCGTATTTAAATATTAGTAGTATGAAACCTTAGGTTTATATTTAGTAAAAAATTTTCTGGAGTTTTTATTATCTATATATATGTATTAAGGAGAGGTTTTATATGCAGTTGTTGAAAATGGAAATGGACAATAGAAAATTAACTACATAGAAATTTTTAATTGTGTCTTCACTGAAAATTAATTAATTAATTAATTAATACTTTTACCATTACATATTTTTCAAACTCAACCTTAATTTGTTTATTTTCCAATATTATTATATATTTTTGAAATTTGCAAAATACTTTAAAAATAAAACTCAAGAAAGACTAATCTTATATATATATATATATATATATATATATGTGTTTGACTCTAAGAAAAACAAAAACAAAAATTCATAAAAATAAAAAATCAATTTCTGGTCATGACGACAGTAATGGACCTTTGGTTTTCTTTTTTTGTAAAATAATAATGAGGAGGTTGAATATTGAATGAAAGTCATAAGTGCTTTCCACTCGCAGCATATACGTACTCATGCAATTATTAATTAATTAATCGTGATGCTTACATTAAATCGCATGGGCTACTGAAACCTTAATGGTTAATCTTCTTTAAGTATACAATTATTATTAATTTTTATTAGTATTTAATTTAATAAAATTATACATTTAATTTATTAGTATGTCACTAAAATTTATAAAATTTGACTTTTTTTTTTTTGAAGTAGATTACCAAATTAGTCATCAACTTTGACATTTGTTATAATTTAATTTCTCATTTTTTTTATACATATAATATTTTCTGTTTGTTTTAAACATTAATTTTCTTATATTTTTTACCAAAAAGAATTAAAATAATTAGGTAATATTAGGATATTTAAAAAACAGTTCAAAAGTTTAATTAATTAATTAAATTAAATAAAAAAAAAAAAGATATAATAATATTACTAATATAATTAATTAGTTAACATTATTTTTTAAAAAAATATTTAAATATAATCTAACTTACAACGACGTGGAACTGAAAAAGAAATAAAATCATAAATTGAATGCATAAGCGGAATAATAGAGTTAGAGTTTGCATTCTTTATATAATAGTTTAAAATACCAAATAGAGTTACGAGAATATCCCTTCTAAAAAAAACTAATGAAAATCAAAGAAATAAACGAAAAGTAAACAACTAACCATCCTAGGTTGACCTTCACTAGTTTCTGAAGGAGTCCGAATTGTGAACTATTCACAACCTCTTTATTGATTGAGATCTAAATCTTGGTCACCTTAATCTGAACTACTTAATGAATGAGTGAGCTACACTATATCAGTAAGAATAGCACACTACTAACCGATACAGAAACTGAATGTTAGTAAAAATCATAAAAATAACAAATGGAGCTCTTAATTTAAGTAAATTTATTTATTATTAATAAAACTATTTATTGCATACGTACCGTTGCGAGATTTTCAAAACCGACCTATAGAGCAACATCATAATCTCGTATTCAAATAAGTAAAAATAACAACTTTCCTTTTTTATTTGTCTACTGGTATGCATGAGGGTCTATAGCGATGTCCCACTACGTGTGAACCAACATCCAACCTTATCAATTAACTGGCCAGTCCCATATTTCGTCCGATATGAGCGCTAAAAATATCATCCCTCAATACCCCGTCCGGTATGAGAGTGAAACGGGCCGTCCTCATACCCCGCCCGGTATGAGCGCCAAAATACTAATTCTCGATTCCCCATCCGATATGAGACGACGTTCACAGTAGGGTTTCCTATGTACCCGGTCCGTCCACCATCTCCTAGGATATCCAGTAAGGCTGTCATTCATTCATTCACTTAATCTATAACACCCAACGTTTGTTTTTTTTATATTTATTTTTTAAAATATAGTTATCTATTTATTTAATTTATTTTAATTTAATGAAAAAAAAAGTAAAAATTTATTAAGGATTAAATTGAAAATAATTTTGGAAAAAAATGGTGAATTTTGGGTTATGGAGGTATTTTTAAAAGAAAAATAAAAAACTGGAGGTCAAAATGCAATTTAAAAAAATTGTGTTACGTCAAACATCCGTTCAGCAACCCCGACCAACCAGGATGCACCAAGTGGAAGAGGCGCTGACGCAGGAGGCCACGCGGGCGATTACATACAAATCCTCAATGCCCCGTCCGGTATTAGGCGACGTTCACAGTAGGATTTTCTATGTACTCAGTCTGTCTACCATCTCTCAGGATATCCAGTAAGGCTACCATTCATTCATTCACTTAATTAATCAATTTTTTATTACATGTAATTTTCAGTTTCACAATTTAACCGTAAATCAACGTAAGACAAATGATACATATATCAAGGAAACACAACTAAATCATTTTACTAATTCCAATATATTATCATGCATTTAAAATTGTAAAATCAATCAATCAGTTAAATAAGACAACAATAATAAATAACCGATTTTGCCTCGATTAGTAAC